GACTGGAATGGTTTCCCTTGAGGTGGTCTTGTGGCTTGAGCGCTGCACTGCATTGAATTCTTGGCTTGTCCCCGTGTTGCCTGAGTGACCTTTGGGCAAGTCATTTCAACTGTCTGTGCAGTAAAATGGGAACATGGGCCTTTCCTTTGTCTGTTGCAATTGGAAGCCGGGACTCTCTATCTCTCTCTGTATGTACAGTACCTGGCACAAAGGGGCCCTGATCTCGGCATGAACCTCTGGATACAAATTGTAATAGACCCCATGTGCCTGTAGATCAGATTGCTATTAATCAATTAGCAAATCCATTGATTTATTAAAAAAAAATAAAAATCTGTCACTCCACTCTGGGTTAATCGGGGCTGGTATCAGTGTAAGGAAACAAACCACACAGGCTGCTGTATCTTCCTCGTGCAAGAAGAAACATGATCCCAGCTCTTAACAGGTTCCAAAAACCTCTCCCCAGCATGTGGTCAGGGGTGGGGTTTCCAAGAGGCCTGACCCTGCCCTTGTTTGAGCAAGGCTACAAAGCACTCTGGGATCCTTTGCGTGACAGGGCCCATAAGTCATTATTGATTTGGAGCTGTTGCCAGGGAACTGTGACTGCAGCTAATGGAGCAGAGAGGAGATGTTGTCAGGGCCTGATCCTGAGAAGTGGTGAGGACCCACAGTGCCTTCAGTGGGAGACACATTGTGGTCAGGGCCTCTCAGCCCCCGGTCCAGCTCTGCTAGGGAGATGTTAAGGAAGCCAAGCTGTTCGGTGCTGGGGTGGCTCCAGCCAGGTCTGGGATGGGGGATGGGACGCCTGCCTGGCTGGGCAATGGCCGGGGCAAGTGGAATGAAAGGAACTAGGCAAGAGGCTCCCTGCCAAGCTATATCTATGGCCGTCTCCCATCACCATGCTCACAGTGATAGTGATACCAGCTGCAGCTTCTCCTGTCTCCTCCCCAGCCCCCGAAAACCAGCTGCAATAGCCCAATGATCTCATCCAGTACAGCAAGTCCACTCGCCTGGCCGTTGCCCCGCCTGGCAGGCATTGGCCATTGTGGAGCGGGCAGCCAGCAATCCCATTCCTCTGCCCTGCTTGTGGTCAATCACTGTGCCTTGCTAACTGGCATCCAGTTCTACAAGGGTTTGCCTGTGACACACTGTGGACACTGGGTTTTAGTCACTTCTAGGGGCAATTCTTTGTGCAGCACATTCATTCGAGCAGGAGGCCGGGAGTCAAGTGAGCTGGATTCTAGGCCAGAGCCTGCCCCGAGTTTATTGTGTATCCATAGGCAAGTCATTCCCCATCTCCATGTCTGTTTCCCCAAATGTAAAACAAGGCTCATGAGCCCTCTCTGTCTGTCACTGAGGAGTGCAGATTCATTAGTTAGTTCACTAGTGACCTGCTAATTATTCACAGTCGAAGCCAGCTCGCAAAGCCTCTTCCGCCAAGAGCAGATTTATCAACAAGAAAATACAATTCAAACGGGTGTTAGCAACGACCGCTCTGCCACGGCTCCCCACACCTCAGCTCACCCTGCCCCACTGAATCCCAACAGACCCTGCTTGAGTGGGCGGGATAACATGGGAATGTCTCCCCCAGCTCCGGGATGTCCATTACTAATCAGTCATTCCAGTGCTTACTGCATGACAGAGATGCCTAAAGCACCTGGGATCACCCCTCCAGGGAGAGAATTCTCATTTCACACAGCCCGAAATCTAGCCCACCCCTGGGACAGCGAAGGAATAACACCGTGCCCTTTATGCTCTCCAGCTGTGGGTACTCGAGCCTCACAAACCTCCCCGAGGCAGACACAGCAGGTTAGGTCCATCATACAGGTGGGAAAACTGAGGCACGGCGAGATTAAGTGACTTGCTCATGGTCATGCAGTGAATCCGGGGCAGCAGTGGACTAGAGCTTAGGAGCCTTAGCTTTCAGGTGTCTGAGAGCCCACTGGAGTCCACTGTCAGAGCACTGGAAACCTTCGCACAGCCAAGTAGCAAGAAAGGCTGTAAGTGTAGCTATGTCTGTGCTGGCGTGGAGATGCTTTACCGCTAGAGGCAGTAAGGGCTGGTGAGGATCTAGCTGCCTCGTGGCTTGTCACCTACAAAAGCTCAATGCTCCCAAAAGGCAAGGGCCCCCATCAGATCCTGAGTTCAGGCTCCACACGACAGGGCTTAGCTGGTGACTGCAGTATGTGGGTTTGGGCTTTCATCCATGTCTATGGCTGCTTTCCCAGCTCCTTTCAGCGGCATTTATTTGGGGCCCATCACTTTGGTAGCTGGTGAAGTATTCAAGGAACCCTGCCCTGCATCAGCTGGGCCCCCTGGCTTAGAGGATTCACTGGAAGGCCACATTCTCTGGGGCAACTCGTTGCTGTAAATGGCAGCCAAGTCCTCCAAAAGCCATAGAACAGAAGAGGCAGGGCCTTGGCCCTTCGCTAGCCTGGCTGCCTGTGTGCGTGTGCCCCAAAGTCGAGCTGTGGATTTGCTTCAGTTTGCACCCAGCTTCAGGCTTTGAACTGCTGGATGAGACTGAATTGTACGATCGCACGAGGGGGAGGTTAGAGGAAAGAACTTCTGGCTACGCATTGTGCCTGCCCTGCGTCCCACTGGGCAGCGTGAGGCCACTCTCGAACCCGAGGCTCTCCCCTTGCAGCACTGGGCACTGGCTGTCCATTGCTGGCAGGAAACAATGAGTTCTTCTCAAACCATCCCAGTGGGCCAGGGAAGAGCTGACTCTGCATATTGGCTTATTCCACCCTCTCTCCTCCCAGCCCCTTTTAAGGAACCATCAGATCAATGACAGAACCCTGGCTGAATTAGCTCAAATGATTTTGCTTCAGGCAAGCAGCCAGGTATTTCACACAAAGAAACCATCTCCTTCCCTGATGCCTTCTTTATACCCATCCTTTCATCTCTGAGGCACTGACTCCATTTACCACACATGTATATCACAAGAAACTGAGCTAACAGGAAGCATCTGGTGGGAAAACAATCCCCTCCCGAACTTTCACTGGCAGGTCTCCCTCTTGTCCTCCATACCCTTTTCCCCCACTGTCATCTTCCCCCTGAGTTTAACCTGGACTGTGAACTCCTCAGGGGCTCTGATTTGCTTCCCACCCATAGACCCCAAAACACTTTACAAAAGCAGCCATCACTGTCCTGATTGTACTGCTGGGGAAACTGAGGCAGCATGGTGGGTGGGGTAATTTGCATGGGTGGTGAGTGACCCTCATTGGGGGTGGATTTTCGGCACTTCTGAAAAGCAAGCTTTAATGGGCCGGATTTTCAATTCACCTCCTCAAGCAATGGTCAGATTTCCAAAGCTCCTGGGCAAATCCTGGCCCAAGGTCACATAGGGTATGTCTACACAGCAAAGAAAACTCCACAGCTGCTCCGTGCTAGCTGACTTGGGCTTGCGGGGCTCTGGGACCTTCCCACTGCACAGGGTCCTAGAGCCAGGACCCCAGTCCAAGCCCAGAAGTTTACACAGCAATGAAAGAGCCCCCCAGCCAGTCCCCAAGCCTGAGTCCGCTGGCATGGGCCAGCAGCAGGTTTTTCTTTGCTGTGTGGACCTACCCCAAGGGAATCCACAGCAGGGCTAGGAATAGATCTCTGATCTCCCAAGCTAGTGCCTGATCCATGGACTATGCAGCCTCCCGCCATGTAAACTGCCACGCTCACCTATAAAATAAAACCCTGGTTTATCTCCTGCCTCACCCACGGGTTGACTTGTTAATCTGCCTCTTCAGGATGCAGCCACCTTTGAAGTTCCCTGGCTAACGAGGCGTTGCTTGCTAGGGCTTTGCAGCGCTCCCTCCTCTGCAGATGGCTTCTTGTGAGTGGCTTGGAGCCAAGTGAGAAATGAGGAAACAATAAGGTGAAAGGATATGGAAAGGGTCAGGAATAACCAGCGCTAGTAACCTCCCCAGCCTCCCTCCTAATGACCCTTCTCCAGTTGGATATGCCAACTCCCTGGGCTATATTCCCGGCCAGCATGCCGCCTCCGAGCTGATGCCCATGTGCTGTTGCTTCCTGGAATCTCCCTGGCCACGTGATTGGCACGGTGCCCGGTTTTCCACCCCTCTCTGCCCATACGCAGCATCCCCCTCTCTGGGACAAGCCTGTTGGTTGCCAGTTGTTGTTACCGTCCAGCAGGGTGGCCCAAGCCAGGATACATGATCTCGGCTTGGGGAGGGATCCGTTCTGGCCAGAGACCTGGCAGACCCACGTGTGCAAAAGGGAGATTAAAAATAGCAGGTAAATAAAAGCGAAGGGATGGAAGAACAGGAGGGAGATCAAAGCCTTATTATCTGGCGTGTAAACAGCCCCCCAGAGCCTCCTGGGCCTGGAATGTAAACAGCCCAGTTCCCTTCTTATTTGTCCTTTGCTCAGAGCAGCGACAGTCAGGATCCTGGGCCTCTGGAGGGGTCTGGGAAGCAGCAACCCCTTTTTGCTAGAATTATTTATTCGCATGCCCTTGGTACCTCACAGCCCTGAGTGAGCTGAGGGCCCCCTTATGCTAAGTTCTGCAGCTAGTCTCTGCCCCTTGTTACTCACACGGGGAGCCGGGGGGTGGGGGTTGGATCTCCCACAGGTGGCTAGAAGGCAGCACGGGCAAGTGGGAGCAGTTCCCAGCAGCGGGGCGCCCAGGCTTGTCCCAGCAGCGTGGGAGTAGCCAGCTAAACTGGACCCTTTGGAGCCTGACACCTTGACCCCAGCAGTAAGCACACAAAGCCAGACCTTGCTGCTTCGTAGAGGGGCACGACGGGGACTCTGAGAGGGGGAGACGGGGCTGTTTCCCATGGGCCAGATTGGGAACGGGGCTGCGGAGACTTTCCCCTCCAGGGTAATGGCCTGACTCCAGACCAGGTCAGTAAAGGTAAAGGGTAAAGGCCTGCACTGGAGGTGGAAGGTTTGCCATTTTCTCCCCAGCCCACTGTGCCAGCCAGGTGCCCCAGATCGTGGGCATGGGGAAGGCTCAGCGTGTGACCCTCATGCCTCCTTTGCAGGCCTGGCTCCGGCTCTACGGCTACCTCCCGCAGTCCAGCCGGCAGATGTCCACCATGCGCTCGGCGCAGATCCTGGCCTCCGCGCTCTCCGAGATGCAGAGGTTCTATGGGATCACGGTGACGGGTGTCCTGGATGAGGAGACCAAGCTGTAAGCGTGTGAAAGGGGGAGGAGTTAACTCCCTGCCACTCCCCTCCCACCCAGGCCTTGGGACACTCCCAGGAGACACTGGCTGGACAATCCGGCACGTCGGGGTGGGAGGGCCAGCCGAAGGCAGCAGCACAGGGCCCCAGGGTGCTGGAGGAGGGCGATGGAGGAGACAGAGCTGTCCTCCTCCCGTTACAGCCCCAAAGGGCCCCCAGCTCCCCACACCCTTTCATCTCCCCAACCATAAGCACCGCCTGACTCTCCCCAGTGCCAGGCACTCTCAGATGGGTGGGACTTGGGAACCTGTCTGGTGCCCCCCACATCTAGCTTCACACTGGGCTTCCCAGAGCCTAGGGTCTGGTCTCCTGCTGGGTGTTGAGCCCCCCCCGCCCCCCCCAGCCAGTGGTCCTGCTCCACCCCCTTGTGAGGCTGCCAGACACGCGGTGTCCGAGCCCTAGCACGAGCCCCACTCTCTCAGTCCTCACTCGGTGGCTGCTGTGCTCGGCTTCCCCCAGGTGGATGAAGCGGCCCCGCTGCGGTGTCCCGGATCAGTTTGGAGTCCAGATCAAAGCCAACATGCGGCGGAAGCGGTACGCACTCACCGGGCGGCGCTGGAGCCAAACCCACCTGACCTTCAGGTATCGGCGCTCGGCCCGCTGGGCCTTGGCTTAGAGAGCCCTGCGTCCCCGCTCGTGCCCTGCGTCCCCACTCGTGCCCTGCGTCCCCACTCGTGCAGCGCCGGAGGCTGCTCGGCCTGCCAGGCTGCTAGGGCCAAATGCGGGATGCAGCAGGGGCAAACGGCTCGTCACCCAGGGCCTGACCCTCACTTACTCTAGTTTTACAAGGGTGTCATTCCATTGTCGTTAGTGGGCAACATAGGGAGCGGAGGAGGGTCATGCCCAGGGCACAACCCCCGGGTGGGGCAGCAGGGCTCGGGACCGGATCTGCTCTGCAGAGGGGCTGGGCTCCAGCAGCCACGCATCAGTCTACCTGGGGCATTATTTCAGCTGAGCAGCACGTGCAGCAGACGGCCCATTGTCCGGGCCTTGCTGCAAAACAAGCCCACCCCACCCCACCCCAGGCTCAGCGCTCGGTGCTAAACAGCTGCCATGTCTGCCTGCTCCGGTGCCGTGCCGCTGTTACCTAACGAGCGGCCTTGAGTTCTGCAGTGTGTAACTCGCCTCGGGGCGAGCGCCTCGGCGGGTGGGAGTGGATGCAGCTCTGCTGGCCGCCCTGGAGGTTGCCCATAGGCTGGCCCTGCAACAGCGCCATCGGCTCCCCTTCTTGGGATGGGGTTCTGCCGCTCGCGTGGCTCCCACCCCCCTCTGTCTCCCAGTCGGGAGAGGATGGTTATAAAACATGGGGCAGTGCTGTTAAAGAGATCCCGGGGCAGTAAAATGAAATTGGCCAGTAAAGGGATGCCTCAGGCCCTTTGCCAAGGGACCAACAAGACTCAAAGATGAGAGCCCCTAGGGAAGGGCAGGGCCCAGCAGTCAGGGTATCATAAACCTTGATGTAACCCACTGGCCCAGTGTCTGTGTCCCTCCCCCTGCCCTACCCCGTATGGCTGATCCAGAGAGAACTCCCTGCTCCTCTGCTGTGCACAGGGGATTTGGGGGCTTGCTCCTTCCCCACTGAAGCCAATGGGACATTTGCCATTGACGTCAGTGGAAGCAGGCTCCGGCCCCCAGTGCTTAGCTAGGTCTGCGCATTGGAGCTGGAGATCCTGGCGTCAGTCCCTGCTGGAGAAAGGTTTGGATTATAATATGTTCTAATACATGAGTAATGCCCCGTGAAACCATTTTTGGGTGGGATGTGAGCTTTCCCCCTGCAGGGTTCGCAGCCCAGATGTTGCTGCATGGGGTTAGTGCCAGAGAGCAAAACTGACCTGAAACCAAAGTGAAACTAACTTGTCTGGTCCTTCTCCTGTCCCAGTTTCTCATGCCTCACAAGCAATCCCACGCTCACTCACCCCCCAACCCCCTGGTTTTGTGCCTCCAGCATCCAGAACTACACGGATAAGCTGGGGTGGTACCACTCGTACGAGGCCATTCGCCGAGCCTTCCGGGTGTGGGAGCAGGCAACACCCCTTGTCTTCCAAGAGGTCCCCTACGATGACATTAGGCACAAGAGGAGGAAGGAGGCCGACATCATGGTGCTCTTCGCCTCCGGTTTCCACGGAGACAGCTCCCCCTTCGACGGCGTGGGGGGCTTCCTGGCCCATGCATATTTCCCTGGCCCCGGGATGGGAGGGGACACGCACTTTGACTCGGACGAGCCCTGGACACTGGAGAACACCGACGTGTCTGGTGAGACTGGCTGGCACCTTGGGAAGGCTGGTGACTGGGGCGGAGAGGGGGGAAAGGGACTTAGTGTGGGGAGGGTGAGTCCCAGGTGGAATCCAGAAGGTTAAGAGATCACTGTGGGCTACAAGTGCGTACATGGGGAAGAGATTTCCAGCAGTAACCATCTCTTTAACCTAGCAGGAAAAGGCATAACAAGAAGCTGAAGCTAGACACTGTCAGGCTGGAATAAGGGGCAAGTTTTTAAGTGAGGGTAATTAGCCATTGGAACAGTGTACCTAGAAGGGTCGTGGATTCTCCATCAGTTGAAGTCTTTAATTCAAGGTGGGATATGTGCCTAAAAGACCTGCTCTAGCTCAACCATGAGTTATGGGCTTGAGTCTGGACTCACTGGGTAGGGTTCTCTGGCCTGCATTCTGCAGGAGGCAGGCTGGATGATCACAGCAGTCCCTTCTGGCTCTAGCAGCTATAGTTAAGGCCGAGTTGAGTTTTACTCTGGTGGGACCATGGCTGGCAAGGCAGGAGGCAGCTGTCTCTTTCCCCCCGGCGTGGGCGCGACGCAGCGTGAGTTGAAGGCTGAAGGGGTTGCCAATGCGTTGGGTACACTGTCCAGCGTGAGTTGACTTGGCATGGTGAGTTGTCGTGATCCCAAACACAGCCCCCTCTGGCGCATGGTCAGGGAGAACCGTGGGAGAGGTACTGGCTGGCCTAGATCATGGACAAAGAGCCCCGCGCTTGGCACAGGGAGGCCTGGGGGGAAAGGAAATGATTGCTAATCCCTTGGGTAGTGGGCTGCAGGAGACCCAGGGTTGGTGGATGTCTTGGGGTCTCTCCACTCTGCTGGGGGCAGTCCCTGAGCTCACCGCTTGGCTCCCGTCCGTGTCTGACAGCGCATTTCTCCCTTCCAGGCAACAATCTTTTCCTGGTGGCCATCCACGAGCTGGGGCACTCGCTGGGGCTGGAGCACTCCAGCAATCCAAGCGCCATCATGGCCCCCTTCTACCAGTGGATGGACACGGAGAACTTCCAGCTGCCCGAAGATGACCTCAAGGGCATCCAGCAGCTGTACGGTGAGTGGGGTCCCAGGCTCAGGCATGGGGGCTGGGCAGGGCGTGGAGCTTGGCCAGCCCAGCCCAGGTGTGTGTGTTGGGAAGTAGTGACAGGCAGGATCAAAGTCCCTTCCCCTCAGCAAAGCATTAACCTTAAGCTGCTGCTGTTAACCCCTTCGTTGCTGCTGAGCCACTGGTTTTCTGCGCAGCATGGATCCAGGCAATGAGGCAGGTGCCCCTCCGCCCCTTCCTCAGACTTGCCCCCGGATCCCCAGAACCTGCTCTACAGCTCGAGCCGTCCAGAGCAGCCTCCCGGTATCTGCCTGGAAGTGGCTGTCCCCCATGGCCCGGGTCCCTTCCCCTCGCTCCAGACTCCTGTCGCACCCTACCGAGAGGGTAGCTGTAGGGAGGACATCGCCATGGGCGTGGAGCATGGGGTTGGGGCTTCTTGCCCAGCGTTGCCTGTCCTTGCCCTTTGGGAACTGGACTGGAGTCCGGGAGCTGGCAGAGGGGCTAGGGAGACAGAGAAATGCTGCTCTGTCCCTTTCGCACCAGACAGTAAGGAGTTAATGATTTGTCATTCCGCCCCCAAGCCGGGGGTGTTTCCAGGCACACAGCTGTAACATGTGGGGAACATCAGTCCCCAGTCACAATAAAATCTAGGCACTACCCTGTCTAGCGGGTACCCTGCCCTGCTCGGGTTGTGTCATAGGCCCTGTACTGCTGAGAGCGATTCCCCTGTAGCCGTAGTGGCAGGGGCCTGTCCTTTTGGAGTCATGAGTGTCGAGATCTCACCCCACTGACTCCATGTAGCCCACAAAGTTGGGGGCACGGTATGGTGAGGCCCAGGTGCCTGCAGATTTGTACCAACACAGCTGGTCCTGTCCAGCCCTGCCCAGCCGGGTTAGACATTTGGGAGTGATTTCTCACTGCCCCCTCCTCTTTCCCAGGTGCCCCTGATGGGCAGCCCCAGCCCACCCGGCCCCTCCCTACGGTGACTCCCCGCGGCCCTGGAAAGCCAGACCACAGACCCCCCAAGCCACCTCCCCCCGGTAAACCAGATCGGCCCCCGAAACCAGGCAACCCGGACCGGCCCAGAACCACCGACCGGCCCGACCAGTACGGGCCCAACATCTGTGATGGGGAGTTCGACACCGTGGCTGTGCTGCGCGGGGAAATGTTTGTGTTTAAGGTACCAAGCACCGTTTCTCCATCCTCCCCTCTGCCTCCCTCCTCCCTCCATTCCCCCGTCCCTTCCCAGTGTCTGGTTATGGGACCAGGCACTGGCGGGCCACTTGCCCCCCTGCTGCCCCCTTCCCCGGCTGCCTGAGGTCCCCTCCCCCGGGTCTGCACCCCACTGTGCTCCTCTGCCCTCGGCCTGCGGAGGATGGAGGTGAGGAGACCTGCCCCGGGCCGTCCCAACCAGCCCTACGAGTGAATCCTGCTGCTCAGCCGAGCCCGGGGCCTGGCTCCCCACTCGCATGGGCTGGGCAGGCTGTTTCCCTGGACTGTGCTGAGCTTCAAGCCTGGTGGCCTCCTGTCTTAAAGGGCCGATGGTTCTGGAGGGTTCGCCATAACCGGGTGCTGGACAACTACCCCATGCCCATCGGGCACTTCTGGAGGGGCCTCCCCGGGGACATCGACGCCGCCTACGAGAGGCACGACGGCAAGTTCGTGTTCTTCAAAGGTGAGAGACCCGGGGAGGGGCAGGGGCTTTCTTGGAATGCAGAGCTGGAGAGAGGGAGCGATCACTGCTCCCAGAGCTCGGCAGACTTACCCCACCCCCTGGCCAGTGCCCCTTAGTCCTGACCCACATCCCCTGCCCCCTGCTGTCCCAGCCCTGGGCTCCCCTCCCCCCTGGCCAGTGCCCCTTAGTCCTGCCCCACAGCGCCTGCCCCCTGCTGTCCCAGGCCTGGGCTCCCACCCCCTCGGCCAGTGCCCCTCAGTCCTGACCCACATCCCCTGCCCCCTGCTGTCCCAGCCCTGGGCTCCCCTCCCCCTTGGCCAGTGCCCCTCAGTCCTCCCCCACATCTCCTGTCCCCTGCTATCCCAGCCCTGGGCTCCCCTCCCCCTTGCCCTGTGCCCCTCAGTCCTGACCCACATCCCCTGCCCCCTGCTGTCCCAGCCCTGGGCTCCCCTCCCCCTTGGCCAGTGCCCCTCAGTCCTCCCCCACATCTCAGGTCCCCTGCTATCCCAGTCCTGGGCTCCCCTCCCCCTTGCCCTGTGCCCCTCAGTCCTGACCCACATTCCCTGGCCCCTTCTGTCCCAGCCCTGGGCTCCCCACCCTCTCGGCCAGTGCCCCACAGCCCTGCCTCCTGCATCCCAGCCCTGGACTCCCCACCCCCTCGGCCAGTGCCCCTCAGGCCTGACCCACATCGCCTGGCCCCTTCTGTCCCAGCCCTGGGCTCCCCACCCCCTCAGCCAGTGCCCCACAGCCCCTGCCCCCTGCTATCCCAGCCCCAGGCTCCCCTCCCTGCCCCCTCAGCCAGTGCCCCCAGTGCTGACCCTGCTATCCCAGCCCTGCGCTCCCACACAGCGCAGCCAATGCCGGGGCAAAGGCTCAGGGCATGGGGACAGCGCCCAGCTTAGCCTGGAGGAGCTTTGGCCCCGGCTGGGTGAGGAGGAGCCCGGGGGGGTCGGCAGTGCAGCAGCGGGATGGTGCCCAGCAGGGGTGCGACTGCTGAGAGAGGCTGCGTCTCAGAGGGAGAACGAGGCCGGGTGCTGGGACACGGGTGCTGAGCTTAGCCCAAGTGGTTTCTCGGCACCATAGCAGCACATGGTCCCAGGTGCCTGGCCAGGAGGGCCCTTGGGCTCCAGCGTGCTGGGCTGGGTTTGGTGACTTGTCTCCTACATGCCACGTGGTCCATGGCCCTCCCACCATCTCAGCTTCCCCTTCCTTTCCCAGGGGATCGGTACTGGCTCTTCCGAGAGGCAAACCTGGAGCCCGGGTACCCGCAGCCCCTCACCAGCTACGGGCAGGGCATCCCCTACGACAGGATCGACACTGCCATCTGGTGGGAGCCCACAGGACACACCTTCTTCTTCCGCGGGGACAGGTGGGTTGGCCCAGCTTGAGTGGGGGGCGCCAATGGGCCATGCGGGAGGGTAGGGCTTCCCGTGGTCTAGGGGTCAGAGCAGGGGCCTGGCTGTGGGGACCCCTGGCTTCTATTTCCAGCTCTGCCACTGGGCATCCTTGGACCACGCTCTGTGCCTCAGTTTCTCCATCTGTCACATGGGGACAATGGGGGGCACCCCCGATGGGATGCACTGAGTGTTGTTTATCATCCTGCTCCTCCCAGCCCCGCATGTACCCTCCCGAGCACTGACCCTTCTGCCACTTCTCCCGAGAGACTTTTCTGCAGCCCTGTGAATTTCTCCGGGTGTGGGCCCCGGGCCCCAGCTGCCTCCTCCCCTTCACTTGGGGTGGCAGCCCTTCCCCAAGCTACCTGCAGGGGAGGGGGGATGTTGGAGCCGGGGTGGGAAACAGGAAATGGGAGGGGGGAGGGGAGAGTTTTAAAGACAAGCCTCAGAAACCCGTCCTTGCCTTTGCCCTCCGGGAAGACAGAGTGCAAGCGGGAGATGTTGGCGCATCACGGCTCCCTCTGCTGCTGACCCCCCGCCAGTCCCCCAGCATCTCCCTATCCCGCAGCACTGCGGGACTCAAACCTATGGTGGGGGGGTATCTGTGTGCCGCTCCAACCTGCTCGCTGTGGGCAGGATCCAGCGATCTTAGGGCATTGCGGCTGACGCACGGGTCTGGGAGGCTGGGTTCTAGTCCCAGTTCTGCCACTGACTTTGGCAAGGCACTGCCTAGCTCTGTGCCTCAGTTTCCCCTCCCCGTGAAATGAGGGTGGTGCTCCTACTCCTTCCGTGTCGGCACCTGGTTGGACGGGGATGGGGGGGGCCGGCAGGAGTATCCCCCCCCACGCTTCCTGCGATCTAAGCAGGCGGGACGCCCCCTGCTGGTTCTAAGCCAGGGACGGCGCTGCCCTAGCCGTGCTCCAGCCTACCTGAGCCCTTTCGGGCAGGGGGGCTGCAGGGTGGGGGGCGGACACCTTTGAGCTGCCTGGGTGCCATCTGCTCACAGGGGCATCTCTTCTGCAGGTACTGGCGCTTTAAGGAGGAGACCCACTCCGCGGATCCCGGCTACCCGAAGCTGATCACCGTGTGGGTGGGAATCCCTGCCACGCCCAAGGGGGCCTTCCTGAGCTCAGATGCCTGTGAGTGAGACGCTAGAGCCCTCCTGCGGGAGCCAGCTACCCCCTCTGTAGGAACCCCCTCGCCAGCAGGGAAATCACTCAGCACTGCCCACCGGCTCCTGGATTAGACTCGGCGGGGCAGACCCACAGCTGACGATCTGGCGTGGGCACTCCAAGGATAACAATGATCACTGCCCCTTATGGCTCTTTCAGAAGGGGGGGGGTGTTGCAATTTTGGCTGCAAAGATTACAGTGAGCAAAGCAGGGAGAGTCCCTTTCATCTCTGTATCTCTAACCTCCTAGCCCCTCGGCATCACCCCCTTCTGGCAAGGGCGTGGGAACCAGATGGGCACAGGCCACTCTGAGAACTTGGTCAGTTCCTTGTCTCTGTACCCTGCCCCCTCTTCCCTCTCTCTCTGCCCTGCTTTGTATTATTATTGGTTCCCCCCCCCCCCCGCCCCCGGCTCTCTAAGGCTTTGAGAAGCAGCTGATGAGCTTGTTCAACTGCCCACCCAATCCTCCTGTGGAACCCACGGCAGATTGCAGTCTTCTGCTTGCCCTTGATCCCGCGTCGGCCTCTTGGCCTTTGTGCTTCTGACTCCTTTCCCTGTGTTCGCGCTGGGGCTGCTGCTTTTTGGCCTGGCTGCTGCCTGTTATACACCTGGCTCCCCAAGGGTTACCTGGCTCCTGGTACCAAAGGGTCACCGTAGCAGCAACATTGCACTGAGCTGGGTGCAGCGGGTGCGGGAATGGAGACTGGTGTCATCCCCTGAGCTTGCAGAGGGCACGGGACTTGTTCTCTCACCCCAGCAGAGCGCCTCGTTTGGAGTTACAGGAAGTCCAATTTCCTCTGCTCCGTTTCCTGGTCGCTGGCTCTGCCTAATGCCCATCTTCTGTTCTGTTCAGCAGGGCGCTAAGTCACTAAGCTCCCCCGGGGCAGTGCTAAAGCAAAGGGAATTGTTTGTCCCTGGCGGGGAACAGACTCCCAGCAGGATGTTGCGAACAAAGTGCTCGTTCATACAGCATGTAGTGGGATTCTGGATCCAGGGACTGATAGGGTCAGCTCCTGGGACTGGGTTTTAAAAAGGAGGGTGCTGAGTAATTAAATGATCAATTATATTTGCACTAGGAGAAATTGACTCTCATGCTTCAGGGCATCAGCCCATCACTGCAAGGGTCAGGAAGGAAACCCCCCTCAAAGCACATCCTTCAGCATTGCACAATTAGCCAGGTGCATTATCACCGGCTTTATTCTCCTTGCTCTGAAGCATCAGTTATTGGCTACCACCAGAGGCGAGGATACCAGACAAGTGGGCTGATCAGATGTGGCAGCAGGCAGAATACCAGATGAGGGGGCAAGGCAGGGTGGGGTAGCAGAGAGGGTGTTTCTGGGGTGTGGCTGAGTGGTTAGCGGATCAGGTGGCGCTAACCTATTTCATTGGCTCCCTTCCAGCGTACACGTATTTCTACAAAGGCACCAAGTACTGGAAGTTCGACAACGAGCGGTTGAAGACCGAGCCGGGGTACCCCAAGTCCATCCTGCGGGACTTCATGGGCTGCCACGAGGCACTGGTGCCGGACCCCGACCCCGGGCACCGATGGCCTGACCTGGACAGACCTCCCTTCAACCCGGACGGCAGGGGCACAGGCGATGACCGGGAGGGGGACGAAGGGGAGGCCGAAGCACGCCCCGGCGACCGAGAGGAGCAGGAGGAGGAGGAGGAGGAGGAGGAGGAGGACTACGGCGGCCCCACCCGGGGCAACGGCAACGACGTGGACATCGTGGTGCAGATAGACAAGTACACGCGGACCATGAGCATCGTCATGGTGATGGTGCCCCTGGTGCTGCTGCTTTGCGTTCTGGGCCTCATCTACGCCATCATCCAGATGCACAGGAAGGGGGCCCCTCGGATGCTGCTCTACTGCAAACGCTCCTTGCAGGAGTGGGTCTGATCCTGGACCACCCCCCCCCCGCCCATCCTGAGCCCCACCCACCCCCCGATCCTCCTCTCCCACCACCATGGTGCTAACAAAGAAGCTTGAGAAGACGAAGCCCCAAGAGCCTTTCCCAGACTACCTTACACCAAGATTTTGCACATTGAGTTGAATGCGCTCGGCCAGGCCTGCTTCCCCCTCGAGCATGTAGGAGACACCCCAGCACAGACTCCTCCTCCTCCGTGCCGACAGCCACCCCCTGCCCTTCCCGTGCCTGGATCAAGGCCGCCTATGGCCCTCTCCCTGCTGGGGGAGAGGGGGGTTGCTCCCAGTGTTCCCGCTGGGCGAGGGAGACCATTTCCGTGCTCTGCAGCCCCGATCTCTCGTCACTACAGGGCTGGCACTGGGGAGCAGCCGTTTGCTGCGGGCCCCCATCTCTGCTTCACAGAAGCACCTGGGCTCCAAGCACCGAGCCCCCCATGGGAGGGGACGGCTGGGTGGGTTTCCCTTATGGCCCTCCTGGGCCATGGGGGTCTCCCCCCCCATCCTCAGACGCCACCTCCCTCGGCTGTGTTCTCGGCTCGGCACCCAGCCGCAGGCCTGGAGGGGCAGAACTCGAAATGCTTCTTCAGCTCGGCTCTTCCCCCAGGACTCAGCCCTCCTGGATGTTTCCCTTTGGGGCCCATCCACACGTCGTGCTTGTGTTGTCTGTGCCCCTCTGTGCTGCGTCCTGGCTGGGCCCATGGAGCAGCGGGAGGGGATCCTGGTCTGGGTGGTTCACCCCTGGTCTGGTCATTCCCAGGGGGGATACGTCCTCCAGCCCGAGGGAAGGGAAGCCTTTTCCCAGCTGGCTCCTTGGCTCATCCGAGGTGGTGTGGCTCCGATGTCTGTTTCAGGGAGAGCCCCCGCAGCTCCCCTCCCCGTCTCCTCGCGTCAGTGGTCTTCGCAGCCCTGCTCCTCCCCGGATCGGGTGGGCCAGCCACTCAGTGCACTGCCCTGGGGGAGTGGGGTGCCATATCCCCAGCCCCTCTTCTCACTCGCCTGGTTTGAACATCTAGTGGCAGGTTTTCCCCACAAGCAGCGCGCTGGCGGCAGGGCCCAGGGGAGATGGCCTCTTCCAGGAGCTGCTGCCCATGGCCACCCTTGGGCTGTGGATATCTGCTTTCCCCTGCTTTTCAATGCCAAGCTCCAGAAAGGGGAGGGCAGTGGGGTAGTGAGGGTGCACGTACCAGCTGGAGAACTGGATTCCAATCCTGGCTCAGGTCACAGGTGACATGAGTTTAACGGCCTCAGCCTTGTGTCTAGCAAGGATTTTTAACATGGACTGACCAGGATTATACATCTGTTTAGGCGGGGCCCTGTGGCTAGAGTAGCTGGGGGGGCTGCAGGGCAGGACGGAGGGGCATTGGCTGAGCTGGATGGGAGCCCAGAACTGGAATAGCGGGGGGGCTGCAGGGTATTGGCAGAGCTGAAGGTGCAAGAGAAGCCTGGTTCTGGCGGCTGCTGCTGAGTATCCAGGCACTGGTTGGTTTCCGAGGCGTGCTGAGCTGGGCTTTCTGGCCCAGGCAGATGGGGTGGAGGTGACATCACTGCGTTTATTTCCTGTTTAACTGTTTGCAGCTGGGAAACAAGGGGGGTAAGGAGCCTAAAGATAGCAGAGGTCTCTGGAACCTGCCCTGGGAAGGCTGGCCAGGAGCCGAGGGCCTGTGCTTTCTCCCAGCCCCAGCGTGACGCTGTTTGGTTCCCATCAGGGCCTCCGTCCATTGGGAAGAGGCTCTTACGATGGAAGTCACCCTGTAGCTGCTTTTCATCCGCTTCCTTCTCCCCCGCACACCCACTTCCGAAACAAACCACAGCCTCCGGGGCCTGTGGGAAATGGGGCTGGGAAAGCAGCAAGCTCCGCCGCCCAGCCCCCACTGCCCCAGAGAAGTACGGGTGATCAGAGCCCCACCGGTGCTCTCGCCTGAGAGCGCCATGCTCGGGGGGCGAGCCGCTCTGGGCAGGGGTGCAGGGGGGGATGTGCAGCTTAGAAACTCTACCAAATAAAAGCGTTTGTGGGAGCCGAGGGACAGCCAGACACGGGCTTGCAGCTTGGGTGGAACAAAGCTCTGGCCATTGCAGAGCTCTTCAGTCTCTGGAGATGGGGCAGCAAGCCAGGAGAGACGCCTTCCCAGTTTGGTCAGCAGCCTGGCAACCCCCAGATTAGCAGACACTACAGGTTCCTTGTAACTGCACCACTGAATTCGACTAGAGGTTGTGGCCTTATCAGGAACATCTCTTCCTGGAGAGCTGGGATCCACCAGGAAAGGTTGCGTATCAGGAACAAGGGGGCTCTGAACACCCAACCCCAGTGAGTGCAGCTGAGACCTTTTCGCCTTTCTGCTGATCTGGAGGGCAGCACCCGCTCTGCAGATCCTGCCCGCTCCTCCATTCTTGCACCAGACGTGCTGGCTTTCCCCTGCATGGGGAAATTGTCCCAGCACTGCTGATGGGCGCAAGGTGGAGAAACGGGTGGGATTTCCAGTGGGTCCCTGATGCCTGTACTCTGGGCCAGAACCGGCCTGGCCAAATCTGCCTTTTTTCATGGTTGAGTAAAATAGTGGTGGTTTTGTTATCATGGTCAAGGATCAGCAAGTAACATTTGTGTCTGGGCTAGGCCATTTCCATGGCAGCTTTGCACAGGCGAATGGGTTGCGTCTAGGCGGAGGGGATCGGGGTTTGCTACAGGGATGAATTGGCAGCTTGGGCTAAAGATTAAGAGCCAGCTCCTCACTGGCTGGAAATCAGCGTCTCTCCATTGACTTGGATGAGAGCCTCCGCTGGCGTAAATGGATGTGGTGTCAATGGAGTAGATCCCCAGTTGGTGTAAACCAGTAAAGCCCCGTTGGCTTCAGTGGAGCGATGCCAGTTTAGACCCGCTGAGGATCAGTCAGCGGAACCACTTGCTCTCTGTCGCCCCAGGGTGCTGCTCCCCTGTGGGCACCTCAGATGATATTGCAAAGGCAGGCATTTCTCCCAGGACATGGAGCTGCCGGGTGAGATTGTTCTCAGCCCTCGGGATCGGGGGGGGAGGAGGGGAGTATCGCTGGAGTCCCCAGGAGCTTGGATCCCTAGAGCAGTCCTTGCTCAGTTCCCCTCCACCTACCCCCCTCCATGGGAAAGCCCGGGCTCCCAGCTTCCCCGTCAGCGACCATGTGGTCACCTTTGTCTGGAAAAAGCCTTTTGTTGGTTCCAGCCGCTTGTCTTTCCCAGTTGGAGCGTTCCCAGCATTGATCAGCCAAAGCCATTCCCCTCTTCGAGCCCATCTGGAAGCTGGAGCTGGGCCGGGGCCAGGCACTCGCAGAACCCTTGGCTTTAATGAACGGAAAATTGTTCCATTTTTAAGCGCACAGGTGTGCGCTGGAGAAAGTGCATTTTGGGCCAGGGCTGGCCCAGAGCCCAGCTGCCCCTTCGCTCTGCCTGGAGGCAGGACTCCACGCCCTGCCTTCCTGGAGGCGGCTCGGCTCCCCCGGAGCAGCGTCCCCCCCCAGTGCATGTGCCCCAGGGGAGCCTTTCACCTCGCTGACCCTGCTGATGGGACCCTGCAGGGGTGAGCTCACCATGGCGTGAGACTGCTGGGCCCCTCCACGCCGACCCCTGCTCCGGAAGGGCCCCAGAGCGACGTCTAGCTCAGTCACGCAGTGCTAGCAAGGCAGGCCGGGGTTAGGTTCCCAAGGCTGTCAGGCCCTGAGCCTCAGAGGAATTTAGGTGCCTAACTTCCAGGATCTGGGCCTCAGCTCCACCAGGCCCCACTGAATGTGAGCCTGAGGCTCCCTAGCAGGGCACAGGGCACCAACGCTTGAGGTAGTGAGCACCCCCATTCCCTAGGTAGGCTGCCTCTGAGAGGGGCTGTTCCTGTGGCCTGACGGCTCTCCCCACCCCATGTCGCTCTCTGTCCCTGCATCTCGTCCATGCCCCCGTCAGCACGGGGGAAGGGGACCGGATCGGAGGGTAACTAACCCTGAGCACCTCGGCTCTGTGCCGGCAGGTGTGGCGGGGAACTGGGGCCCCGGCAGTAGCGCGAGAGGCCGTGTCCCACGGGCATGGGGGCTCATGGTGACATCCCGCCAGGCCCTGCCCTATCCCTTGTGGTGTCTGTCTGTGTCTCTCTCTCGTGTGTGCACGTGTGTTTGGTTTTTTTTTTAATGTCCATGCTGGTCATGTTTAACTGCTACACAATAAATCCTACCAAACCAGCCGTGGGCCGCTGTCTCGTGCGTCCCCTGCCCCGGCCCCCTCCCCGGCCTGCCCTTAGCATGAGTCCATTTAGCCCAGGAGCAGTTTGCTGCAGTTCCACTCACTTGCCTCTTGCTGCACCCCTCTGCCCTGGGGCCTGCGGTGGCCCAGCCCTGCCCTGGTGCTGAGCACCTGCTGCTCCATTTCAGCAGGTTCCTGGGTGCTCTGCAACTTACAGGGTGAGGGCCCTGGCTGGGGGGGGGGCACTGGAGCAGATGCCGAGCCTGAGTTGGGCAGGACCAGGCATGGAGATAGTAACAGTCCACCCTGCCGTGGAGCTGCAGAGCCTTGGGCTGGCCCTGGGCACCAGGCCTCCCTCACAATCGGGGCGGGGATGAGGTTAGGACTGGGCCCCGGGGCTCGGGGAGAGCTGCTGCTGACAGCTATTGTACAGCAAATACCCCTCTGTCTCCTTCATCCTAACTCATGGCACCCAAGCTGCCCCTCCGGCCTTTGAATACTTTCCTGAAGGAGCCAGTCTTTGCATCACTAGCATGGGAGCCGTGTGCATGGACAGCGGGGGCCTCTCTCTAAGGCTGTCTTCTCCTGCCCTCTGACGAACCAGGAGTCATCGCCGGCGCTGGTCCGGCCATGGGGATGGAGGCTAGCAAGGGTGGGTCTCTAGCTTGAACTTCCCTTGCAAGAAAAACCTCCAAGGAAGAGCTTGGCCCTGGAGCCCCTTCTCCAGGAAGTCGCGTCAGGCGCAGCACAGACCTGGCTGGCTACATTTTGGTATCTGGGGAGCAGGCACTCAGTGGAACAACGAGGCTGTGAGAAAAGGTGGCTTGCCTTGTTTCGGCAGCTTTCAGGCAAGGAGGTAGTGAGGTCCCAGCAAGCTGGGCAGGGGAACAGGGGTGATGAGGTGGGTGCGGAGGTGGGCTGAAAACTCCAGGTTTTAACTTTCTGAGGGCCTGTTTGCACTGCTTGATACCCCTGGGAGCTGCATACATACCAGCCCTCAGGAGTGTAAAAGGATGATGGCACCCACCCCTCCCCCTTCCCCGCTAGCCCAGTTTGCCTTCCAGTCCATGCCCTTAGCTCTGCCAGTGGCCCCCAGTCCTGGCCTGCAGAACCCCTGTCTCCTGGGCTGGGACCTCACACCCAGCTCTGCCAGTCCTCTCAGTCCTGGCCAGCTCTGGGCTTTCCCCTATAGTTCTGACACTCTCCTTCCATTTTTCACAGGCTGTCCTCTGACCCCAGCTCCTCCAGTGCACCTGAAGCGTCCCTGACCGCCTGCCCCCATTCCAGTCCCGGGAGCCCCCACCCAGTGCCCCTGCAGCACCATCCCCCTTCCAGTCCCAAGGCACCTCCTCCCCTCCCCTCCCCACCAGTGCCCAGCATCTGATGCTCCTCCAGCCCACCAGTCCCTGACATTCCTGGGCTGAGCTCTCAGCATCTTCCAACCCCTAGCAAGCCAGCTGCCGCAGTCCCATTTCCCTGTGCCATCCTCCTCGCCCAGCAGAGCCAGGGAGCAGCTGGAGGTGGCATGACCACAGCACCTTATCGGCAATTGCTTCGTTTACTTGGCTGGGGAGGGCCTTTGTTTTCCAGCCTGTGAGATTGCTGAGCAGGTTTAAAGCCAACATAAGCTGCTATCAAAGGGGCCATGGAATGTGGAGTAAACACAAGGCTGGGTTTCATTGCCCTTTCCTGGCGTTATCATAATCCCAGGCTTGCTGCAGCGAAGGTGGCAAACACCCAGGGGAGAGGGGCTTCTGTGGGGCAAGCTTTGAATGCTGTCCTGGCTTGGCAGCTAGGAGAGCATTGCCTGCAGCAGGCCAGCCCCTCTCCATCGGCTGCAGGGGCTTTGGGACAGGGCCTGTCAGCGGGCATCTGCTGCCTGAATCTTCTAACAATGGGTGAGCCAGTCCAGCTGGGAAGTGGGCAGAAGAGGGGAATGTTTTACAAGACAATAAAAGACTGGTTTTGCCCGGCGTTCAGCCTCCTGTGATCTCTGACCCTGGGTGATCATTGGTACGGAGGTGGTGGGCATCGGTATGAGAACCTGGCTCAAGGGGAGCTGGAATCAGGCCCGCTGGCCCAGCAAGGCCCCACCACCACCACTACCAATAGAAAGACCCTTCTAATGCATCTGGCCATGTGTGTGATGCTGCAGACAGGGACCCCAATCCTGCTGCTGGGCACCACAAGACACACCCATTGCCGTCAAAGGCAGAGCTCCATGTGGAGCAGCTGCAGGAGTCCTCAGCGAGGCAGGCACATGATGCGTCCTGCCAGACCCCACCCTGCAGCGGTCGTCCCAAACCTGGACGCATGAGACCGGATCATGCCCAGACTGGGTCAGAGCAATGGTCCCTCTAGTCCAGTAGCCCGTTTCCGATGGTCCCCAGCACTAGCTTCAGAGACAGCTGTAAGAGCTCCCATAATGCAGTCTAGGGAGGTGTCTTCCTGACTCCTGTCAGCTGGAGGTTAACATGCCCTGAATCATGAGGGTTTCTAGCCCTGCTAAATGTCTGGTACTAGCTAATGTACCTCTGGATGTTCCTAGCCATATAAATGTCTATGATTATTATGAATCGTGCTAATGTCTTAGCTTTGGTAATATCCTGTGGCACCGAGTTCCACAGTTTAATTATGCCTTGCATTTAAAACATCTCCCCCCACACACCCAAACAAACCCTCGTTTTCTCGGTGGTCTGTCTGTTGGCTTTTAATGCCATTGATTGGCCCCTCCTCCTACTTTTATGAGAAAGGGTAAATAGACGCTCAGGGTGGATCTGCCCTGATAACCCTTATCATCCTCTTCGCCTTGCACAGCTGTGGAGGTTACTGAGAGGGGGATATAGTCGCCACAGGAGATGTGTGTTTGTATAAGGCCCAGCCCTATAATTATTGCACTGCTACTTGGCTGCTCTGGCCTTGGGCAGGGTGGCAATAATCCCAATATTGGCCCGGTGTCGGTAAACACAGGGGCTGAGCTAGGACAGTGCAGGGCCAAAAAGGTGGGAATCTTGCCCTGGTTCTCAACCCTAGCACAACCGGCCTGAAGACTGGTGCCAAGGCAAAAGGCTCCAGCATGCTCCACGTGCCAGATGGCCCTGGACAAAAGACCTCGCTGCACCCCATGTTCCTTTGCCCCCTGAAAGCCCAGGGTGCTGGAGTTCAAGACCGAGAGCTTGCTGGCCGGGAAACAGCTGGCCCTGGATTCACAGAGCAAATGGTTTTTCTGGCGGGTGTTGATGTCACCGCAGACCTCAGTCCCAGCCCACAGACAGAATAATCCACTGCCTCCCCTCAGCATTTGTTCCCGCTCCCCTCCCCGCCCGCCTCTGCTGAGATCCTTGCGCTTCCCACAGCCGGGCTTTGGAAGCAGATCCGAGCAGTCCTCGCATTCTGCAACAGGAGAGGATCAGCTGCACAGCCCTGGCCTCAGAGGCAACTGACAACAACAGACTTTCCTTTCATGGGGCTGCAGCCGCCGGCCTGATGTTCCTCTTCCCTGCTGCTTGGGCAGAAAGGCCTTTTTGTTATCCGCAGCAGTCCCTGTTCTCACTGAGCCGGCGCGCCAGAGGGCCTGGCCCTGGCTGGCTCTGGCTAATGCCTGGGCATTTGTTTAGTTTAAGAGGGCAAGGTTCGGCGTGAAGGGCCAACTGAGCCCCCCCTTGCACTGTGCCCAGCCGGATGCCCTGATGCTAGCACCAGTCCACGGTGCTGCTCGTGACCCTTCTGACAGCCACAGGCCAGGAGTGGCTTGCCGTCCTCTCTGCAAGGTCGGCTCCTTCCCAGGGGACGGCCGGTGCAGCAGACTGCGCTCGGCCACCGCATGGGTTGGATTTGTGGCACCTGGCTCGGGCCCCTGTGGCGCGAAGGGGCCTGATCCTTGGCTCATGCCACGGGAGACAATGAAGCCACTCCTGATCTACACCAGCGTGGGGGAGCAGAGTCAGGCCCTGGGCTGGACTCTGGGGTATGTTCTCTTCTCCCTGGCAAAGGCGGCACGCTGCTCCATGGCACCTCAGGGACCAGCTGGGGAGATGGAGGTTCTGGGATGCGAACTTCACGGCCATTAGGACTAAGGCCAGGCGTGAGGGGCTGGGCAGCTGCTCAGTCCTGAGCGAGTGCCTGTGGGAATTAGGAGCCTGCTTCTGTTGGAGCCAGTGTGGGCAAACACAAGGTGAGTGCTTTAGCCCATTAGGGACCCCGGAACAGAACAGCACTTCCGGAGCACAGGGCAGACGTTCCCCAGCTCAACCCCCCACCCACTGCACCTGGGGCAGCAGCCACCTGTAAGTGACTTGCCGCAGGAGTCCATGCAGAGTTGGGAGTGGAGCTCGAGGAGGGGTTCCTGGCTCCCAGCCCTCTGCTCCGCCCACTACCCCATACCGTCTCTGTAACACGGGCAGGCTGGTTGGCCTGCTGCTGCATCCTGGGAGATGATGGGCCCCAGGTGTGACTGGGGTGGGGCAGGATCTGGGTCCTTGGTCCAGGCTCTGCTCAGCCTGCATGCAGTTGAGTGGGTTCCTCCACCCCAACCAGCCCACCCTGGTAGGGAGGCTGGGCCTCGGAGGCTGGGGAGACACTCCCACCCCACCTTCTTCTCCTTGCAACAAGTTCCCTGGAAATCCCAGCTCAGCCGTGAAGTATTTGGCCACCTGCCAACCTGCTGGGAGTTAATCACATTCCATTCACAACACTGCTCCATCCAACACCCCCCGCCCCCCCCCACACACTGACCTCATTCACTTCCTCTCCTATCAAACCCCCCCCCCCCCCAAATCTCCCATAATGCATGGGCTGCCTTGTCTGACCTCCAGCCAATTACACCATTTGATGGAGGCACTTAATGGTCTCACAGGCCTCTGGTCAGGGAGGCGGTGGGAGCGGGGGAGGAGTTGATTCTCGCGAGGGTTCATGCGTGGGATACATGGAGCTATTCCTCTCGGCTCCCTTGGCCGGGGACTTAGCGCTGACTCAAATGAGGTATCAGAAATGTGCTATT